ATTTAAAAAATATATATATATATATATATATATTTTATTGATTTTTCACAGAGAGGAAGGGAAAGGGATAGAGAGTTAGAATCATTGATGAGAGAGAAACATTGATCAGCCGCCTCCTGCACATCCCCAGCTGGGGATGTGCCCGCAACCAAGGTACATACCCTTGACCGGAATCGAACCTGGGACCCCTCAGTCCACAGGTTGATGCTCTATCCACTGAGCCAAACCGGCCAGGGCTCCAGCGGCATCTTTGTATCATGAAAATCTGAAACACACAGCAAAATTGAAACAACGATACAGTGAGCACTTCGGTGCTTCACCACTCCCTGTCCCTCTGTCCATCTGTCCATCTGTCCATCTTGCTCAGCTGTGGACGCTTTTCACAGCACAGTTCCCCAAACCCTTCAGCAGGGGTTTGAGTCCTTCCTCTTCTTCTGTCTCTCTCTGTGTCTTTGTCTCCATCTCTATCTCGCTCTCTCCCTTTCTCTGGAATACAGTAAAATGCATAAATCTAAGTGGATGGCTTGCTATTTTGACAAAAACTGACAATTGCTCGAAATCCCAATCCCAGCAGAGATGTGCATTAGTCACCCACACAGACTCCGCAGCCCCTCGCAGTCTTGCCTTAAATTTAGTTTTTAGCCGGGTAGCTCAGTTAGTTAGAGCATCGTCCTGATACGTTAAGGTTGCAGGTTTGTTCCTTGATCAGGGCATAAATAAGATCAACCAATGAATGCAAACACTATCCGCTTGGCTGGGCCTGGCTGTCAGCTGCAGGCCTGCCCCACCCTCAGGGCATGTACCAGGAGCCTGAGCTGTCATCTCCTTTCCTCCTGTCCCTCACTCACCTCACCGTCATGATGAACCTGCCAGCCCAGATGTGAGGTTTGCTGCAAAGGCTGGTGCTTCTTTTTTTTCTGGTCCCAAAACAGCAGTCATATTCACTGAGCACTTACTAAGTTTCAGTCCTCTGCAAAGTATCAGGAAACATCAGGAGACTCTTTCCTTTTTTTTTTTTTTTTTTTAATATATTTTATTGATTTTTTACAGAGAGGAGGAAGGGAGAGGGATAGAGAGTTAGAAACATTGATGAGAGAGAAACATCAATCAGCTGCCTCCTGCACGCCCCCTACTGGGTATGTGCCCGCAACCAAGGTACATGACCTTGACCGGAATCGAACCCGGGACCCTTGAGTCCGCAGGCTGACGCTCTATCCACGGAGCCAAACCGGTTAGGGCTCTTTCCTTTTTTATCTATTACAGAGCAAGGGTGAGAAGGAAGGACAGACACGGTGCAAGGACAGGACGGGGAGGATCAAAAATGCAGATTCCCTCTCCTTTAAAAAATGTTTTTTTTATTTCAGAGAGAGGAAGGGAGAGGGAGAGAGGGATAGAAACATCAATGATGAGAGAGAATCATCGATTGGCTGCCTCCTACACACCCCCTACTGGGGATTGAGTCTAAAACCCGGGCATGTGCCCTTGACAGAAATCGAACCCAAGACCCTTAAGTCCACAGGCCGACGCTCTATCCACTGAGCCAAATTGGCTAGAACAGGGTATTTTTTTCCCCTCATTGATTTTTAGAGAGTGGAAGGGAGGGAGAGAGAAACATTGATGTGAGACACATGGATTGGTTGCCTCCCAAACTTGCCCTGACTGGGCTGGGATCGAACCTGCAACCCAGATACATGCCCTTGACTGGGAATTGGACCCGTGACCCTTCGGTGCATGAGCCAACACTCCAACCACTGAGCCACACCGGCCAGGGCTATAAGTGAATTTTTAATGTTTAACTGTCTACTAAAGCATCACCTTTGCAGATAACACACCCAGGTCACAACAGCCTGGTGACCTCTCACAAACCAAACGGTGATGCTGTGATTTAATCAGAATGTATGTCTGGGCTTCACCCACATTCCTGGCACAGGGCTTCTAAAACCTTAGGAGTTTCCTAACTGATGAGACCAAAGGGGTCTTTTGTTGATAACGAGCTCCCCTCAACCACATCTAGGACGGGGCTAACAGTCAAAGAGACCCAGGGGCTAAAACAGCGATTTTCAACCTTTTTCATCTCCTGGCATACAACTCTACTAATATTTGTGGCACACCAAAAACCATATTATAGCCGAACCGGTTTGGCTCAGTGGATAGAGCATCGGCCTGCGGACTCAGGGGTCCCATATTCGATTCCAGTCAAGGGCATGTACCTTGGTTGCGGGCACATCCCCACTGGGGGGCGTGCAGGAGGCAGCTGATCGATCTCTCTCATCGATGTTTCTGGTTCTCTATCCCTCTCCCTTCTTCTCTGTAAAAAATCAATAAAATATATTTAAAAAAAAAACAAAAACAAAGAACAAAAAACCCCACCATATTATAATATTTTTTGATCTGACAAAAAACAAAAACAAAACAGGTGTAATTTTGATTCATTCACACTGGACAGCTATTGTGTTGGCTGTTGCCACTTTTTAATTTGATACTCTAAGGGAAAAGAGGTCAGTGCCCCTGACTGAACAGTCAGGTATTGCATGTTTTAAAGGTTCTTGTAGCACACAGGTTGACAGTCGCTGGCTTAGAAGGTTGGAATTTTCAGTCCCAACCTGGGAAGGGAGGGTCTGCCAATTGAGCTCAACACAAACTCACACCCCTGTTCCTCGGAGACAGAAGCTCCTGCACTCTCGACCTTCTGGGTCTCACCCCGTGTGGCTCTTCTGCTGTCAGTCTGTGCCCTTCATCACCACACTGCTTATTATTCTGTACTAGAGGAGATTCGTGCTCGGCGGGGAGACCCGGTGCACGAGATTCATGCACTTGTGTATGGGGGGGGCGCGTCCCTCAGCCCGGCCTGCACACTCTTACAGTCCACAAGCCCTCAGGGTGGCCTCGCGGGGAGCAGGCCTAAGCCAGCAGTCGGACATCCTTAGTGCTGCCACAGAGGCGGGAGAGGCTCCCGCCACCACCACTGTGCTCCCCCTGTGCTCACCAGCCGTGAGCCCTGCTTCTGGCTGAGCAGCGCTCCCCCTATGGGAGCACACTGACCACCAGGGGGCAGCTCCTGCGTTGAGCGTCTGCCCCCTGGTGGTCAGTGTGTCTCATAGCAACTGGTTGTTCTGCCATTTGGTCAATTTGCATATTAGCCTTTTATTATATAGGATAATAAGCAGGTACCTACATGTAAGGAAGTCTTTCCCTGAGGACTGTGAGCAGCTCAAGCAAATTAATCAAACCCAAGGAGGGGGCTGTGGAAACCTCTGACTGTAGTCTGTCCGTCAGAAGCACAGGTGACAACCTGGACTCTTTTTTTTTTTTAATATGTTTTTATTGATTTTTAGAGAAAGAGAAAGGGAGAGGAATAGAGAGATAGAAACATCGATGAGAGAATGAGAGAAGAACATCATCGACCAACTGCCTCCTTCACAGCCCCACTGGCTCCCGCAGGGCCCCCACTGGGGATTGAGCGGGGATTGAGCCCGCAACCCAGGCATGTGCCCTGATCACTGAGCCACACCGGCCAGGCACAACCTGGACTCTTGACTGACACCTGAAGAGAGGGCAGTCTAGAGGGACCTGTCCTCCTCCCGCCCCACCTTTCATGGTGTGCATTTTCAAGCTGAAAAGTTGGAAGGTTTTACGGACAACAGTATATCCTGCCTCTGGATTGGGTAACATTGTGCCATATTTTCCTGACCAATTATCTATATATGTAAAAGCTAAGTGACCATAACGACTAGTTGCTATGACGCTCACTGCGGCTGGCCAACTGACCCGATTGGGGCCGGGCCGGCCAGACCCCACCTGTGCACGAATTCGTGCACTGGGCCTCTAGTGTGTATATATACTTTAGAGGCTGAAGCATTTTATTTTATTTTATTTTATTTTTTTAATATATTTTATTGATTTTTTACAGAGAGGAAGGGAGAGAGATAGTTAGAAACATCGATCCGCTGCCTCCTGCACATCTCCTACTGGGGATGTGCCCGCAACCCAGGTACATGTCCTTGACCGGAATCGACCTGGGACCTTTCAGTCCGCAGGCCGACGCTCTATCCACTGAGCCAAACCGGTTTCGAGGCTGAAGCATTTTAAAGTGAGTTCTGGCCCTTCATCCCTACATTAATTTACTTGCCTCTTGTCCCAGGAGGAGTGAGCACCCCCCCCCATCTCC